CGCCGAAACAGCGGCAAATCTGGCCCTCTGCTCCGCCGCCATCTCTGGCGTCGAAGCCACCCTCCTCCCTTTGACCAACGGGTCAAATAGACAATTTGTAGACTCGATGAGAGTCTACTTACGTGCCGCCATAGCGCAATACATGGCCACGGGCCCGGCCATTACGCCACCCGTTCTCCCTCCTCGCCCGGCGAACCCAACCCCAAGGGCTCTCGAAGCCAGGAGTAACACAACTCCCGCCATCCCAGTTCTGCCTGTGATAAGCACCTGGGCCACGGTGGCCAGAAACGACCTGCGACAGAAAGCAGTCCCAACAGTAAAGGCTGTGCCGCGACCTGCGGCCAAAGCCCAACAAAAAGAAACTTCCAAGGCGAAAGTCGATAAGCGACTGTTCCTTCACCTGGAAAAGGACCACCCGTGGCGAAATCTGTCCACAAATTGCGTGAGAAGTAATTTGGAGGACATATTCCTTTACTTACCCGATAAAATAACCTCACTCCATCGAGTGAGGACTGGCTTTGCTATAATAGCAAAGAACGAAAGCATACGACAAGAGATGCTAGATGGCTCTTCGAAGCTGGCGAGCGAAAACGTCAAACTCGAGGCATCTTCGAATCTTGTTGCCTTACAGATACCGAACGTACCTGTAAGTATAACTTCAAAGGATGGAACCAGGGCGGTCAATACTGAGTGGGTCTCTGCCCAAATCACTATAACGACCGGCGCAAATCCAATCCAGGTCCGACCTCATGGGACGTGTCGACCTGGGGCGCCGTATCGAAACTGGCATGCCCTTTTCGATCGGGACTCCACCCCTTGTGCGGGCTTCCGCATCTTCGACGAGTCTGATAAGGCTATCCTTCACAAGCCTCGTCGACCAATTTAACAGTGCAAACGCTGTTTGGGCTTCCACGCCACTCGTGGTTGCTCCCGCGCTCCAGCCTGCTGGAACTGCGGATCAAACATGCACTCGGAAGCCGAGTGCAAGGCCCTCACTAACTGTCGCAACTGTGGGGGGCCCCACCGATCGGATTACCGGGACTACCAAGTCAGACCCAGAAAGTCCGGGCCGGTCACCAAAGACCAGCTCACGTGGATTCGTCACCTCATGCAAGGGAAGTACGCAGAGGTGGCTCGCGCTAGGGCTGCAGCCAAAAAGGCCGAACACGCGATCGTCGTCGCGGCGAAGGATGTCTCGATGGCCGAGGCAACAGGTTTCAGAGCGCTGGGATCTGAAGAAGAAGCTTGAGGGAACAGCGACCTCGAAGATGCCCCCTTTTGGGGCATCTACTAACTATTAGCAGGACACCGGCTGGATAAAAGGTGCCTGCTAACCCATCTTTTGCTCTCAGCGGAGAATGGGCAAATTTGTCATCTGGAAGGTGTGACGGACGAGGGAATGTGCCAGGAGCGCATTTACTGGGTCCAATATGGAGTAATCTTCTAGTATTCGGAGTTGTTTTGATTTTCTTGATTTTTCGTTTCTGTTTAATCAGCTGCACTTTTGGTAGCGATTCACGAGGTTGGAACGAGTTAGGCTGTAGGAAAAGTTACAGGGAACCCTGCCGGCTATAGCGGTCTTTTTTTTTTTTTTTTTTTTGCATCAGATTTTAATTGCGTATGCAGCTATCTAGCTATGACACAATATCAAAGAAAAGTACAGAATAGATGATTCATCGTTAAGGAAGAGCACTCATGCCTCAGATTTCATTTGCAAGTACCACTGCGAAGTTATGGTGGCTTTTTCTTCACCCCAAGTCAACCCTCATCCGTGAATACCCACCCAGGGGAACGTCTCAAAAACCCTGAGTTATCCAGACATGCCTCCATCATCTTTCGACTTTTCTCCGCGCGAAATATGGTCTGAGATATCTCCTTCCCAAGTGGAGTAGGTGCCCAGGCTACTCAAACTATACCGGAGAACACCACCAGGAGGCGGACCACAACACCTTCCATCGTTGGCTTGTTTTTATAGTGTCAACTGCACTCTCGCAAGCGAAGTCTTGGCGCGCACAAAGCTCAATTCGTAAAACTCTTGCCAAAATTCGGAATCTCATGCCCTTCGAAGTTACATCCCTCTTCTGCATCATCTTGTGAACTTGTCCTGATCCCTCTCACGTCCATCCCAAAGAGCTATCTCCCAGATTTGTGCTCCACGCTTTGCTTCCTCCGTCGGGTATAAATATCGGCGTGGGCGTGTATTTGGTGAGCAGCTGAGGCCAGAGAAGGTCGAAGAGTGGTGTGGTCATTGGAATGAGGATGTACTTGGTCGTACTTGTAGACTCGATGAGACGAAGATAGGAGTCAAAGTCGTTGGGAGCGAAATAACGACGTGGATGAGTAATTTGGATTTTTGCCTCGTGGGCCAACTTCTTTGATATTGCGAAATTTGACTGAACTTGGCTCTGGGAGAATATTTCACTCCCAGGTTCGTAGAGGACACCGCGTACAGGTGTTCAGTCTTGCCCTCCTATAGCGGTCTTGTATCCATAATGGACATTGAGCATTAGCTTAGGACCTATTGATTAAAAAAACAAAGAAACAGGACAGCTGTTATGTAAGCATGTTGGATGTCTCTTTTAACGTTGGAGACACTCATACTCTAGATTTCATTAGCAAATAACACTACGAGGTATGTTCGCTTACACAAATAGTCGACCCTCCTCCATAAGTACCCACCAAAGGGAAATTCAAAACCTTTGATTATACAAGCATGCTTCGTCATCCACGCAAACCGGGGCCGTGAGAAATGTGATTGTTTTTCGCCCCAACTGAACCAGCGATCTAGTGTCGCTTGTGGGATATGTGTCCAGCTTTCTAGACTTTACTTGGCGGACCGGGGTGGTCATTTCTCAACACCTGTCAGCGGTGTCACCTACGAACCTCCAGCTCTCACTGTAGAGTCTGCAGAGCCGAGATTGAGTACCAAAGCCCTCACTTCGACGAGGATTCTCAATCGCTTCCGCAGTCTGTATCGTCTTCATCTCTCAACACTGCCCCCTATCACCATTATCATGAAGCTAACCACAATCAGATCAGATGGTAGGGTCGGAGCCCTACTCATCACCAACCCTTGATCATGGAGGAAAAGACATCCCATGAGTTTCCGGAGCGTACCCAGCACCCGATACGGCGATGGCGGATTGGATCAAGTCGCCATCGACTGTTACGAAAAAGGGAGATATAGATCATTATGCGCTCCTCATGTGGTCCCGGTGTCTAGGCCTCGCCTGGCTGGGGCTGCAGGTTTTTTGAGACTTTTTCCCGCGCACGTAGTTTCCATTGTTACCATTTTTTATTTTTTTGGGTAGAAGGTTCCGTAGAAAGGTGGCCGAATTCCACGGGTAAATACTAAGCTGAATGGCTATTCATCAAGGGGAATAAATCAATGATCTTTCGAGAAACATGAGAGGCAAGGAGCACTGTACAAGGTGTGGCCTGGGCCAGAAAGTAGCCCAATGTGATAGATAGTCATAGACTCAACTAGTACAGTAAACACAAACATCTATAGATACCGAAGAACGGTATCTAGTGCAGAAGACGACGGGAACACAAGAAGAAATTCGCCATTGAACGACAGGCATATAGATGTAAATCAGATTATCGGATGACAAAATGGAAAAATAGTTTGAGGCAGTTGACTTATCAAAACGTGATGCCCATTATTAAACCCCTAGAATTTGTGGCTAGAATCGCGAAGTGAATCAATGGCCATAGATTACTTATTTCTCTGTAGTTGATTAGGGAAGCGCAAGATCTTTTTTGACAGGAGATCAAAGGACGAAGTAGCAAACAAAGCAAGCTTTGCTAGACAAATATTGAATAGATATGATTGGCGGTGAATAATTGGTGTCACATGCTTCTGATTGACACTTGGTGTTAATAAATTCATAATACGAGTTGTAATAGCGAAACTGCCGCTGTATCTGCCATCTTGTAATGGGGTTATTACGTGAATAAACCGCGATCCTATATAGACAGTTGTTGGGCTAGTCAACTTAGCATGAACAAAAACGCGATGATTTTATGCAGCCAGTTGCCCTCGGATTATATTATCACGTGCGAGTCATAATACCCGTCTAGTAGAACCCATAGAATATCGTAGTGAAGTTAAGTCAATCACTCATTTAGTTTTTTGCCCCATTGTGCGAGAGAGACTGACTTCGGCCGGCCATCGACGGAGTATGGGCTCACTCTATTTTCTTCTAAGCACCTCCCCAGGAGCTAAGCGTTTCACCACCATATTGGAGAAGGTTAGGTTCCTGTCAGAAATCTGCCCACTCCTTAAAATATGAACTATTCTTGTGAGGTACCCGCTGCATAGCGCTCGCGGTTGCTAAATATATTTTCATGGCCTCTGCCACTGCATATCACGTTTTGTATTACTTAGTAGTCACCATGTCCCCTCAGGGATGGGGCTTTAGTTGTAACTAGTGCCCGGTAGACATAAAAAATTAATAAATAAATAAATATCGTAGTAAAGTTGAAGCGTTTTTATTAAATTTGTATACTACCGAGTAAATACCAGAGCTAATATTTACCTCTGTAAACCCATAGAGCCACCATATCGGGGTAAGAGAGTTCTTGATCATTTGCTGTTAGAGGTAGAAACTATCAAGTTGGTAGCAATAGATTGTCATAGAATTAAGTAGCACAATAAGCAACAAAACTCAAATTAAAGTTGGTGTACCTGATGGAATATGTAACAGTCCTCGACCTTTGGAGCAAGGTCGAATGGCAATAGCTGGTTCGGCTACAGGGATATGGAGACGTCACATGCCCTTGTTGGGACAACAAGGGGTGAAGACAGCTAAGTTCCCAAGGTCACCTTCATACTTATTATACTTGTAAACTCTAGCGGAATCTATCCTCTTCATCTACTCTGACTACACTACCAATCACGCGACTCATAAATAAATCATTTCCTAAGCATATCTTTCACTTGTATAGTCTCTACAAGGGCGAAGATCTTCAAAATTAAAATATTTCAACTTTCCGAAATGGCCGACCGATTTCCCTCTCTCGAAGAATTTGATTCAGGCGGTACAGTTTAGCCTCTCATTTCACTATTACCCCCACTAATGACGAATAACAGTACACCCCGAAGCTCAAGACCTTTCTACTTTTGAGACTGCCGACGTTGATGACTTTCTTTCTCGGGAGAAAGCTATACTCGGTGACGATTCCCATCAATTTACATTTGGCCAGGGTAACATCGAGTTTCTTTCAGATGGTCCGCCAGAATTATTGTACGAAGAATCACATCAGAATGAAGATGAAGCAGTCATCAAGTTTGAGAGCAGCTTCCCAGACATTGACAGCCGGAATCAAGTAGGTCACGATCATTTGTCTTTCCTTCCCTTGCGCATTTATCAGTATCATTTTTTCTGATCATTTAACATTAGAATACGATATCAGCAGTAACTGATTCAAACTATCAACCTTCACAACAGCCTCAATTTCTTGAAGATGAACCTCTGCCCATTAAGAAATGGCGCGAGCGCCGCGACTTAGAGCTAGCCGAAAGAGTCGCAATCTCGGAAGAGCGAAAGCAGGGCACTATAAAAATCGCTCAACAGAATATTGATGAGTTCTATGAAAACTACAATGCAAAAAAAGAGAAGGGCATAGCCCAAACCCGTCGTGAGGCTGAAGAATTCCTTAACAACAGAGAAGATACAAGTGCTGGTGGGACTAGCTGGGAACGTATAGCAAAACTGGTAAATCTAAGCGGCAAAGGAATTGAGGGTGGTGCGAGTGGATCTAACAAGGCTCGGTTCCGTGATTTGCTGCTCAGCCTAAAAAAAGACGAAAAGGCTCCAGGTGCTTCAGGTTATTGAAAATAATATTGTATGGGTTAGGATGGACACACTGTTGGTTGGAAAAGTGGCGTAACTGTATGGCAATGGAAAAAGGCGTAAGTGTACTATGAACGGAGATTTTGTGCAGATAGACCTTCCGTGCTCTGAAACTGGGAATCTCAATTCGGCGCGGGCGTTAGATTTATATTCTTTGTTAGTAAACAATCCTGTATGTCATACAAACTGTTATCAAAGTAAGCGTCACTGGGATCATTTTGCTAACACTGGCCTTGTGATTTAACAAAATGAAGAACGTCCTATTGTCTCAATACTAATAGACTCGGCACTTCTTACGATACAGAATAATGCAACGTTGCTTAGGGCTTGGCAATAAATTTCGTTTCCAAAGACATTAAGATCACTTTGAATATGAATAAAAGTTAATTGGACAGTCTGCTTTGTTCATTCGATAGTGTATATCTGTACATTTTAATATGCTATGATTCTCATTCAGGGTCATTATGGTATTTGGCGCTCAGTTCATCATCTATCGTGGCATCCAGGGATATGTTCTTCTGTTCTTCGTGCCTTCTTCGATCCAGGTCTTCTATATTCTTTAAAGCTCTCTGTCCTTCTTCGGTTGTGGCATCTATGATCTCATTTTCAAGGGATAACATACCACCCTGTCATGATCAATATTATCTATTTGTTGTGAACGAGTTTTTAAACTTACCTCTCCTAATTGACCTACAATTTCTTCTGCCTCTTCAGCACTCATTTTACCTAATATACCATTAACCTCGTCTAGACTGCCGCTCTCAAGTGCTCGTTGAAATCCTGGAGGGAAAGCATCGAACAGTTTTCTTGCTTTTATAATTTCAGGATCATCACTATCTTTGGGGGGAATGTTCATATTTAGTGTTGAGCCTGGATTAATTGCATGTAACTGGATTGTCTCTACTCCTCCGCTTTCAGCCTCCAAAGCACGTTGTTTCCTGACTTCCTTGGCTCTTGTCTTGATGCGTAGGAAAGTGTTTTTTACATCATCCAGAAATACTTTTTGAGCTTGGTGGCCTGGCATTCTTATTCGTTTGAAAAATAAGTCCACACCGTTTGGGCCTAGTGCCCGACAATATTGAAGGAGAAGAGCCTGGTTAGTACACTGTCGAGCTTCATGTTCTTGCATATTAAGAGCATGGTTAAATGCCATAATTAACAAGCCATCTGACTCTTTTTCTGCAAGAATTTCGGGATGAGATAGGATAAATCGATGGCTTTCTGGTGGGTTAGAAATATCTATTTTTGAAAATTCTCTACCCAATTTAGAGGGCTCAATTTCGTCACCATCTGCTAATGGCTCATCAACATCTGCATCAGTTCCAGAAGATTGTGAACCGTCATCGTCTTTTAATGAATTTAATGAATTCGGATTCAGTAACTCGGCTGAAGAATCAGCCTTCTTCTTTGTCGTGGGCTTTGAATCAGGCTTAGCTATCTGGGATACTTCAAACCCAGTATGATATGATTCACTAGTAATTAGTCTACTCTCTTCCTTCTCTAGTGAAGCTAGCTTTACTTCCAACTGTTCTTGTAAATCTTCTATCTTCTTTTGGTGACACGTGATTTCATTAACGTATGATTCGAATCGGTTTTCGGATTTATCTTCATCGACCTTAGTCCTAACTTGATCGATTAAAGCTGCCATCATGTTGGAGTAGGTTGGCATTTCTTTTTCTTCAACGTTAACTCCTTCGGGTCGCGGTGGTGGGATATCATCACTTGATTCACCAACTGACTCCATGATTGCCTGGAACATCAACTCGTCTACATTTTTCTTTTCCGACGCAAGAGAATTTAAAGCCGTGAGTAAGCCATTTATTCGTTTAAGCAAGCCATCATTGATAATTCTTTCATACTTATAAGTTTCAATCTCCTTTTTGCGTTGAAATCTCTGTTGATGTATTTGGTGTTGTTTTGCTCGTATGAAAGACTTCTTATCAACATTTGGATGTACTTCGATGTCCGAGTCGTCACTAAGCTCAAGGTTGTCCTGCTCGAATTAGCCTCATCAACACGTTGCTTCAGCCTTGCGTGCTGGGGGATAGTATAACTTCATGGGAAGGGAATCGTTCCCATGCTTACCCACTTGCTGTAATCCAGCGTCATCTTGTATGAATACTAACGGTGCTTAACACATTCGTCTGTTTTCAGAAAAGTATTTTGTAGACGAGGATTCATGGAATGTTCTACAATCCCTCCTTCCTGGTGGTTACCCCCACTGATTCTTGCGCCTACTTTAGTGTTCATCTTATGAACATTTTATGAATATTTTATGCGTAGTTCCCGTCTAATCCTTGGCCTGGTTTCTTTACTCAAAGTTCCTCAGCGCGTCTAATAGATACAATGAACGCCACGCCATCATTGAAATAGGCCCATAATATTTATGAAGTGGGCTGATTTCAGAAAACTAAGGAACCGGTAGCAATGAAACCGTCTAAGGTAGGAAAGTTAAGCTTTTTGGGAACGACCATCACGAAAGTAGCCTCTAAACTAATATCACCAACATGTCCTGTTTCCTCTTTTGGCGCTCGATTTAGTCAGCCTATAATCTTGTCTTCGTCACAATGTAACTGTCGACATCTATTTAGACCATATCTACCTTCAGCAACTCCAAATTCTTCTCAAACGCACATCAACTCTACATTAATCAAGCCATCAGCTCGTGTATCCCATGTAACCCTAAGTCAAAAGTTTTCTCAGTCGCGAAGCTTTAGGGCAGTATTCAAGTTACGAGAGGCCTTCAGAGGTACGGATCGACAAGATCGTATCGAAAAAGAAAAGGCTCTAAGGGAAGAAGAAGAAGAATATGACGATGATTTACTGGATAACCAGAATGGGTTTCAAAGAACTGAAAAGGCTACTCAAGCAAGTCATGTTAATCTTAATGCGCGACTGTCTCCGTCAAAGTCATCAAAAAATGCTTCAGGATTTCGTGAGATGTGGAGATTGTTAAAAATTGCAAAACCTGAAGCTAAACTATTGGGCCTAGCCTTTTTATTTCTATTAATATCTTCCTCTATTACCATGGCAATACCGTTTTCAATAGGAAAGATACTTGATATGGCGACAAAAGGCGATTCTGCGGAAAATACGCTCTTCGGATTGAACAATCGCCAGTTTTTCACAGCTCTTGGTTTGGTAGTGGTACTTGGAGCTGCTGCAAACTATGGGCGTATTATAGTGTTGAGAATTGTTGGCGAGAGGGTTGTCTCGAGACTCCGATCTCAACTTTATCGCCGGACTTTTGTACAAGACGCAGAGTTCTTTGATGCCAATCGAGTCGGAGACTTGTTGTCGCGGTTGAGTTCTGACACTGTCATTGTTGGAAAGAGTATAACTCAAAATCTTTCAGACGGCCTTAGGTCACTCGTGAGCGGAGGGGCCGGGCTTGTTGCCATGGCTCTAGTCAGCCTTGATCTCACAAGTATTCTATGCTTAATATTTCCACCAGTAGCCATCGGGGCTTTTATTTATGGCAGAATGGTACGAACCATAAGCCGGAAGATACAAAAAAATCTAGGCACTCTGATAAAAATTGCTGAGGAGCGCCTTGGAAATGTGCGAACTGCTCAAGCCTTTACTGCTGAGATTAAAGAGGTTGGACGTTATAATGACCAGGTCAAGAAGATATTTTCTCTAGGGAAGCGGGAAGCAATCCTTAGTGCAACGTTCTTCACCTCGTCCGGACTTTTCGGTAATATGACCATATTAGCACTACTTTTTTCTGGTGGATCTATGGTTAAAGATGGTATTATTACCATTGGTGATCTAACATCATTTCTCATGTATACTGGTTACGCTGGTTCAAGTTTGATGGGGTTTGCATACTTCTACTCGGAATTAATGAGAGGACTTGGTGCTTCTAGCCGTATATTTGAGCTTCATGATCGAAAGCCCACAATTTCAACTACTACCGGAATTAAGGTTCAATCTGCTCAGGGTGTAATAAAGTTTTCAGATGTCAGTTTCTCGTATCCTACTCGACCTGCAGTCAAGATATTTAATGGCCTTGATTTCGAGATCCCATCCGGTAATAATGTCGCCATAGTCGGGCCAAGTGGAGGAGGTAAATCAACGATTGCATCACTACTTTTAAGATTCTACAACCCAACATCTGGCGCGATAACGATTAATGGAACCGATATATCTAAAATGAATGCCAAATCTTTACGGCGTCGTATTGGTGTGGTCGCTCAGGAACCTGTCCTCATGTCAGGAACTATTGCTGATAATATTGCCTATGGTAAGCCATTCGCATCTCGCTCCGAGATAATTGCAGCAGCCAAAAAGGCAAATTGCGATTTCATAAGTGATTTTCCCGACCAGCTTGAAACATCAGTTGGTGCAAGGGGTGCGCAGCTCTCTGGCGGACAGAAGCAGCGCATTGCTATAGCAAGAGCTCTCCTGAAAGATCCAGATATCCTTATCCTCGATGAAGCCACCTCTGCTCTAGACGCTGAGTCTGAGACTCTAGTGAATTCTGCTCTAGCTGTGTTGCTACGTGGACATAATACCACAATTTCAATTGCTCATCGATTATCTACAATTAAGAGATCAGACCGTGTAATTGTTCTCAATAAAGATGGCAAAGTAGCTGAGACAGGGACTTATAATGAGCTATCATGTAATCCAAAATCTGAATTTTCAAGGTTGATGGAATGGCAGATGTCTGGCAGTGACTCTAACCCGGAAGTGGAATCTTCGGTAATCACCAATAATGGCACCACAAAAAAGATGTAGCCTGAAATCATGTAGTGGGATATTCATTACTGACGACATGGGGATTATGGGCACATTGTGGCGAGAAGCTTGTCGGACTGATCAGGCCCGTCTCTTACAAGCCTAAGCCCTGCACGGCTGTGCTAATAAACCAATTTGGTCATCTCCACCATTACTACAAAAAGAATAACTATTTATTACCATGCTGGATCCAGCATGGGTAACAAATCAGCATTATCGAACCACTGTGTATAGTAAATATAAACCCTTTGTATAGTTAAGACGTGCTTCCCAAGCATAGATCTACAACATCGCGCCAACTTCTAGCCTACCCCTACAAACAGTGTGATCTCAAATCGTACCTAATGCCTGTGTTCTCATTGTTGGACCCCGCGTAGCTGCCATCAGAAAGGAACAACGCCTGTTTGCAGCAGTTCATTAACCCTCGTTGTCTCAAACTTCGGAAATCTTATTCGACTAGAAATACGAGTCGCATGCCTACTTGGGTGCGAACAAAATAAAGGTTTAGGAAATGATTTTTGAATCGTACGGCTATATGCCTCTCACATCCGAGATATGCACAATAGATTGATTACTTGTACAACAGTGCCGTCTTAAGACGATATTTGGTAGGGATGACATGGAGATATATCAATAAAATTGGGCTAAAATTAGAAGTACCTAGTTCAGACGGCGATGGTTTACCAGAGATAGCTTTGGAAAGCTAGATGTAGCCGACTTCTCCGAAGAGCGTCGCACGAACCTGTATGAGGGCTGCCAACTCGAGCAAAAATTCTTGCAGGATAATCACATTGGTGAGGACATGATTAATGCTCACTAAGTTAACTTCCGTCTTTTCTTCTGCACCAATATCCATGGAAACCATAGTACTTCTTGAAGCCACGCCAGATACTTTTGTGGTTTCAAGCTCCATTTCGATAAAAGGCTCCAATGCAGTATGCCCAACGATGGGTGGTAGGCTAATCTTTTTAGACATTATTCTTTGATCCATACCTTCAAACGCCGTAGCCTGGTTAGCGAAAGCTTCGTTCTTTGCTATTGTACTCTCTCCGCTGTCGTTAGGGTTTGAAGATATAGGCTGTGAGCTAACTGAAAATGGCATGTCCAAAACTGTGGGAGAATTTGAAGGGTTACTGGCACTGCGCGACCCGTTAAGGTTAACAAAGCCAAAACCTCCAGCGAATCCACTAAGACGCTCTCGCTTTTTATGACTTCGCGGAGATTTAGGTCGGGTAGGTGTTCCAATCTCCGTTAAGAAACGTTGGGTGAATGTATCAAAGGCATTTGGACGAGACAGACGTCCTGTAACTGATTCATTTTTTACTTGTGGTTGTGGCTGTCGTACTATATTTGAAGCCGATTCGGTGGATGAAGCAACATGAAATGCCTCTCGACGCTGCTGGAGGAGCTCATCAAAGCGGGGGATTCTCTCCCGATAAAAAGCGACCTGTCCGACTATTTTTTGAAGCGTCATAAGAAGAGAAGGAAGCTGTGAATCATTTAACTTTGGAATACGATGTGCTAGCTTCAAAGCACGTAAATGATTCTTCTCGCAAGTTTCAAAGGAATCTAAATCATCTTTCTCTGATTTGTTTTCCGTTAGATCTGGTCCCTGAACCTGTTCATATTTATAATTAGATTTATCTGGAAGCAGCCATCCGTCAATACGCATAAAACCACAAGTAGCTAAATCAGTAATTGTTGCAGTTAGAGAGAGGTTTGTTTCTATAGAATTCAAGATAAAATTATCTAAGATTCCAATCATAATTTGTAGCATTGGATCATCTGGCCGAAGGGTGTGTGTTCTAATTTCACGGGGGGCGCCTGGTATAGTTGCGTATGTGCTGGGAAACTTTATAGCGCCACCACCATTAGGCTTTGGGCAGATAATTTTCATAGAACATGGATGATTTTCGATAGTACTCATACAATCTTTGAGATGATTCTCGTAAGTTTCGTCGAGATCACCATCAACATCAATATTTTCCACTAAATCGAATAAAAATTGAATTATTCTATCCTGAGCACCAACTGTTCGTTGCGGTCCCTCGTACATTACTAGACTGGTTCGTAGAAGGGTTGATACGGCAAATTTGTGATGCCGCTTTAAAATAACAGAGACTAGCTGTAGGGTGACTGATATTGTTTCTCTACTTGGCGATTTGAGGCTTCCATGAATTAAATCTATAAGGTTGAAAAGTGCTGGAGTCGACTCTAACTCAGCGTGAGATGCCATTAAAGTTGCTAAATCAATCGATTTCCTTTTTCGTGCCGCGCTAATGGCTATTCGGGTATTAGCTGGACTTGGTGTAGTATCAGGTAGCGCAAGCAAATAGTGTAGTATGAGATGAATCATGTCTGGATGGTCTAGCACTTCTAATATTCGACGAAGATAAGTCATAACTGCCACTGACGAGCCCCCGTCGAGATCAGAAGATTCAAGCAAAGAAGGGTACAAAAGTTGCTGTAAAAAAATAACACGAAAATGTTCGAGTAAAGTTTGTTTGACCTCTATCGATTTGCAATGGTTCAGTACGTCCTGCCAGAAAACAAGATGGGAAAGAAATGTTTCCATGTGCATTTGAAAATCTGGCGAGGATGAACTGACAATTTCCGGTGTAGATAAGGGACGCTGATAGTCTGAAAGTGCTAAAACTGCGGGTAACTCTCCATCAGGGTGATCAATGACTAGTTTTCGACTCAACTGGCTATATAGAGCTCCAAGTCCTGTTGCCATTAGTGTAGCGAGGTCACTCTCCACAATCCATTGTTCCAGGGCGGCTGAGTTAGCCGCAGCTTCGATGATGTATAAAAGACCAGTTCTAGCAAAATCTCCAATGCGTCCCTCATGATGAATGTAATCAATCAAGAGATAAAATAATGGAAAGTCTTCCCTATGAGTTTTTCCCGCGAAAGCTTCAACATGACCTACTCCCTGACTTGAATCTTTAGCACGAGGTTGCGATGAGAACCATGCTGGTAGAATTTCTGGATCAAGCCTTATCTTGGTTGTGATATTGAAAGAGAGTTCAACTATTTCTGCTTCTGTTTCAGACCCTATCCGAAGACTGTTTGCACCGGTGATCCGAACCAGAAGTCTCATCAGACTTTGTGCAAAAACATTGTTGTGAACAAAATCTTCCTCCTCGCTCTCAATTAGGGTTGCATAGATTGCTACCCCTTCCCGAATGATCCCTTCATTAGAACTAAATGAGGCTATCTTTTCTATTTGGGCATAAATTTTTTCTGACGCTGCAAAAGCTATACATGGATGTGGTAGAGGTCGCCGCGATTCATCGCTGAGTATTGTTGTTAGCAGTTGCAATGAAGCTTTTACTGTTTCTGCGGCTGTATTATCTTTAAATAGGTTCGTTGCTTGGTGTTTTAATTGCTAGGATAGCGTTAGGAATCTTTCATTCATTTTGAAATTTCTTACGGTAAGAAGTTGATTGTATTCCTTCTTAAAACGTGCCAGACGCTTCTCTGGGTTGTTGGAGGGTGTCTTGTCTGCCGGGGCGAGAGAAGTTGCCGCAATCAAGCGCGACCACTAAATTGATAGTTAGCCAGATAACACTCAAAGAAGCTTTTTCAATCATACAAAGTCCATGACTGGGCAGAAAGCATTTTGGTGTTGTTCTTTGGTCACCTAGATCATCGCCGCTCGGATGCAGATGCTGTCTGCTAGGACAATTTAAGCCCCGCCAAACCTGCATTGGTTCACCTTAAATTTCCGTCGGTCGGCAGTCGTCAAGGAAGAATTGAAAGATCGAGGAAATGACCACACGCACAAGGAAACTCAATCTGATCTCTTCTAATTGGCATTAAATTTACACATCCTTTAAACTCGTCAAGTATAAACGGACAAAGGAAAATTTGTTGACTGCCCTTTTTTGGCACTTAATTGCTATTTCTTAGTCTACAACTATGTAACACTTGCAGGTCCTCTCCATCTACAGGCTAAAGATATCTGTCTGCTGGTATAACCCTTCCTATGCCTCCCATACAGCTCTCCTCAAACAGTTCCACCCCTCAGAAGTTCTTATTCGATCATACAATTTGAGGAGCCCTTTACCCTTCATTATTTCTCCTCTCCAGCCAACGAAACGATGTCCATTTACGGGTGTATGGTATCTGGGGAAATTCGTATAAATAACTTTGTGCGGAACATTTCTAATACCGGAATCAGCATCAAATATAAAGACGTAGCCACCCTTCTGAAGCGCTCGAAGAGGCCAAACAGCTGGGTGCTGTAGACTTGTGTCTATCTGAAGGAAATCATTCACTGCCTTTCTAGCCTCTTTATAACCCTAACCCGAAGGTCGTGTCGAAGTGTCAGAAAGCCTTAACTTAGTGTGATGCAGTAAGGTAGATTAGCTCAACTTCTATTGTGCCGTCTAGGAAACTGGGGAGTGCAGTATACGTTGATTACAGAATTCCTTTTGGTAAGTTACCTTGAATCGTAGTTTTGGCTTCCACACAACATTCAAAGTTGAAAACACCTCGAAAATCACAGGCCCTGTGTAGGGCCTTATTCTCATTGTCCATGAGAAAATAGGTAAAAATTGTAAAATTAGAAAGGAAGAAGTGTAGCTAGTATCTTATATATATATATATGTATATATATTCTAGGGGTCCTCTATAGTCATTGACTCAGTTAGGACTATAAAATAAATCTAATCACAGACCCTGTCGCTATCCATCATATCCAATTGTCGAGGGGAGATTGGAGAATAGTTAATCCGTAGGCTCACGTAAACTAGACGCGCACGCGTACCATTAGTTAGATGATGGCTTTACCAGCTCGGGTCGAATAACAATGAATGTATCTACATCCAGTTGTCTTTGTAGCTACTTGTCACATACATGATACACAACCCATCCAACAGTCCCAGCATATCTGGCGGTGGTCTCTTGCGCTCCACGTCCCTGCCACCTCAAGAGTTAGGGCCCTATTAGAGCTGCGGCTCTCTGAAGCCAAGTCTCGAGCTTTATATGTTATGATTCACTTTTCTTCTTGCAGTTGAAAGTGGCACCGGAATTTTTTTGTCAGAGTTAGCTAGTGATTGATGAAGCAAATTCACAACTAAAAAAGTAACAGACTCTTGATTAGTAATTGAAGAAAGTTGTCTTATGGTAAGGTTCAGTCAGAATACTCGTGTGAGAATTATGTGTCCAGCATCGGTGAGAAGTCTTCGATGATAGATATGCTTATGAAGTTTGAACTTTGATGTTAAATGTTTGATTTTACATTTCTCTCAAATTAATAGACCAGGAAGCTGCGGGTTCCGATCTGTAAAATTTCAAGTTTATGAGTACAATTAACCAAGAATTATCAGAAATCCTCATGGTGATGACCGTGATCCAGAGAATGCCTAGAGTATCGCGGTTTGATGCCCGACGTTTAGGTTTAGGCATATCAGAAAAATACACCGACACCGACATCGAGCGAAAGATGAGTAGTATGGACGATGATAGTTATGGGGAAGGTGTCTATAAGACTTCGTGCGTTTTTTACCTGTCACTTGGAAAAGATTTATGGGCTGAATAGTGAACTAGTACGAGTCAAATAGTGATTAGATGGTAAGAATTCGTAGTCTTGTGTAGGTTACATCTATTTCTTATTTTGTTTTTGTTGCAGATGAAGGTAAAGATCTGCGCTCGTGGTCTCAAATACCTTTCAATTCCAAAGGATAGAGAGGAAATCCATGTTAGCCTGCCTTCTTAACAAGTACTTCAACGACTAAATCTACTTAGTCATGAGGATAATAAATACAGAATTCTTCTATCATTAGCTTCTAATGGATTCCAGGCAAGTGAATATATCATTATATTCAGTTGACTGTAGCTTAAAAATTTATTGTTAAGGATCTCCTCACCAACTAGTTGCACTATTTCATAGAAACTATTCAAGACTTAGATAATTCCATTACGATGATTTTACCCTTTGAGCTCTACATCTTACTTGCAATCATTAGTCTAAATTGACTTCATATAAACTAGTTAAAGTGACCAAACCGTCAATAAATAGTTAATAAATGTCGAAGATATGTAAAATCAACGCTTAGGATTAATGGCTGGAATTGGTGATGAAAATTTTGGAATTTATTGAGTAATAATTTCCTGTTCGGCTCTATAGTATGAACATGAAGCTCTATTCTCCCAGATGTAATTTACCCACATTTTTTGAATATAAGGTAAATTAAGACGACATCTAATTTCATAAAATACATCGCAAGGAATGAGGCGCATAGAGAGGATTCTACTACATTTGGCCTAATCCAAATTGGACTAAAGGGTCTTGCAAAGCAATGTGGTATATCTAATCTTCATCCCAGTTCTGTCACATCTTAGCATACGCATATGATATCGATACTGATGACTTACAGGATTGGGGCCAGGAGGTTTTGGACCTCCCGCTTGTCTAGCAACGATAATCTGATCAACGGAAAGCACTGTACGAGCCGCCTCAGTAGCTAATTTGATAGCCCAGCTTTTAGCAACGAGAAGGTCCGAGATACCCTCGTCCCTAACATCTAAGGTTCCTGTGTTATTTTGGTTCTAGAAAAATTAGTGCAGAACAACACGATCAAACCAATTTCGCACCTCAATATCAACGCCGGTTACCCAATCGTTACGCTTATGATGAGCTGTATATAAACTACTTAGTACTTCGGTAGCGTCTAACCCAGCACTTTCTGCCAAAATCCTTGGCACAACTTCAAATGCTTCACCAAATTTTCGGATAGAGTATTGTGCTAGACCTGGAGTCTTATCACCAAAGGCCTGGATTCTCTCAACTAATTTCATCTCAGTAGCACCAGCTCCAGGAACTAGTCGTGGGTCCCTTGATATAGCCTTGACAATATTAACCCCGTCATCAATAGCACGTTCAACGTCATCGAGCTGGTTCTGAGTAGCTCCCCTGATGACAAGAGTTGCCGTTCGAGTAGTCTCGTTTTCTTGTCGAAATACTGTCACTCGATCCCCACCAATTTCCAGGGTCTCAACTGCATCAATGCTACCCATCTCTTCAGGCATTGGAGCTCCTAACCTAGCTAGTGGGGTAGCTCCTACAACTCGACAAAGCCTGCGAAGTTCAAATTTACTGAGGATTCGAATGACCAATATGCCGTATCTATTGATATAATGCATTGCTAGCTCACCGACTGTCGATCCAGCGACGATAACTCTGAGGCCAGAGTCATGAAGTTCTTTGATGTGTGATTCAAGTTGCTTCTCTTCTCCCTTTGAGAAGTCCAGCATTTCGCCAGCGTTGTGGATGAGTACCGTACCCTTCGTTTCGGTTTGACTGATATCGATAGGACAAGAGAATACACCAACCTTTGCTTTTGTGACCTTTTTAACCGACCCATCAGGTTCTCGGCCAAAAACCATTCCTTTCACAACTTTGCTTTGCTCAAGGCTGCCACCCATGATCTTAACCACGCGAACGTTATCAACATTGAAATTTACTGGATTTTTGGGGAGGACAGTGAGCACTGCTTCTGCAACCAAGTCTGCCAAAAATATTTCGCAACCACTTTGTTTGCTGGCGATGACTGTTTTGATTGCTTTACTTAGCTCTGTTTGCGATCGTATATCCTCAACTTTATCTATAGCAAGATTCTCGAGTTCACTGAGAGCAAACTCTTGTGCTAGTTCATAGCCTCGAATAACATCGCTGGTTCTAAGACCCATCCTCAATAATTGCTCCGCTTTCTTCAAAAGCTCGCCTGCCAGGATGACTACTAGGTTTGTAGCATCTCCAATTTCAGACTCTTGCTGCTGGCTTGCCATGACAATAAGTTTTGCTGCGGGGTGTACCACATCGAGTTCACGAAGTATAGTGGCAGCATCTGATGTTAAAATCATTTTTTGTAGATGGTTTATGACTATTTTGTTTCGTCCATATGGCCCAAAGGAGGTTTGAACAGTAGAAGAGATGGCACGACAGGCATCAATATTCCGTAAAACAGCGCCATCCTCAGAAGCGTAGCTGCGTTATTGAATCAGCTTTTTTTCCGAGGAGTGATATGTGTGGACCACAGTTTACATACTTAGAGTATCCTTGCTTGAAGAGGGTTGAATTTGGGGCGTTGGGAATATTCAAAGACATACTGTTCATATGTCGTCGAAACTATAAGGTTAATTACTGCCTCTTGTGATAACCTCCGCGGCTGGGTGGGATGTCGCGTAAAATTGCTACCGAACGCGCCCGGCATTACACTTTAGGCCTAGATTGTAAGGCATCAAAGTAGACGGAACGGATCAACTAATCTCAAGGATAAGAAAGTCACCTAGCTCTCGATAAGGTGAATCAAAACAGTTTTATCCTAGCCTTAGTATCTTATTACACCTCAGAGACAGTGCCATTCCCGAGGAAAATCTAGGATGGCACCACCAACTGGTAAGTCCAATTCCCTAACGTACTGCCTTGGATAAACATACTAGACTCGCAAATCCCACCTAATCCAGATTTGCAAGCACGAAGACTTGCTGCTTTAGAGACTCTCAAGTGTGTAATATCGAAGCTTTTCTCTTACTATTCTTGCGCATCTTTATTAAAAAAATAGAAGTCACGAATAATGAGAACTATGGATGGTTCTGTACCACCTCCTACGTCTTATTGTCATGTTCGCACATCACTACTTTAAAGACTTTTCGAATGAATGTTGGAAGTCCAATCAAACACTTTGTTCATTCCTCGACCTGATGGCTAAATGGCAGCTCTGCTAAAACTTGTTACAGCCTAATGATATGTGAAGTGTTTTCAACATTAACCAAGTGAAATTGAAGAGTATATTTTTAAAGAGTGACTCAGTAAGAAATTACTCTCAACTTCAAACATGACATTTTTGCTGTATTACCGAATAAAATAGAGAAATAACAGAGAAATTCTTGTCTCTATTACAGCATCTCTGTGAGATAATAATGAAACTGTTCACTTTGTATTCCAAAATCTTGCATCTCAAAATAATTTTAGATTCGTCTCAGACCAGATCAGTTCAAATTCGCAGACTCGCTCAATTCTCATTCGTTGTTTATATACATTGATAAGGCTCGCTTCTTTACTACCAGCAGTCATCAAAACCTTTTGTTCTAACAAAAGCACTCTGGAACCTTTCCTGCTGAGCTAGTCCTCCGAATTTCACGAACTCTTTTGCCTATTCAACGAAACTAGCAGGATTGCTTGCACAGCGTATCCTACACTTTATTCAGTTTTGCTTGAGACTTCAGCCCTGTCAACTGACAATTTCTCTCATACTAATAATCACCTCAGGAGTTATACCACCTGAACTCCCACCTTCTGTGGAAGAAGCATATCGTGCAAAATGTATTCAGCTCAAGCATCGATTAAGCGAAGTTGAGGAAGCAAACGATAATGCTCGCGCGCGAATAGTTCGAATTAACCGAAGCATCCAAAAGTCAAGACTAGAACGTGCTTTTCTTTTGGAGCAACTTGCAAAACGAACAAGTGCTAATGTTGAGGATTCAGAGGGTAGCCCCAGTCCTCCCCCCACTGTAAGCTTTATCAATCTTCTCAGTATTATAGTTTTCGAACCACTGCTCAAACTTCAAATTTAACCCTCTTTAGCCAAAGGATAAGCCCTTACGTATTAAGCGTGGTCATCGCAAGCCGGAGTTCATGAATAACGACGCAACTGAAGCGCAAACTAGGAGTATATGTGCTGGACAGGGGCAGACAACTATGTCTCCACCTTCAGATGCCGTCTCAAACACATTTCCAGATCCTCGTCGTAACTCTACCCCTCAAACACAGTCTCAACCCTCTAAACGCCAGCTGCTCAGTAATGGGACAAATAGATCTTCTGGACCCTCAATTTTTTTATCGAACCAATCGCGTCAGCATGACCCGAATAATGCGTTCGAAGTTTATAACAACGAACTAAGACCAAATTTAGAGAATGAGCATAGAAAAGAGATTCTTGAGGGATCATACGATCTGGAAGCCGCTCTGCTTATGGGGTGGAACGCCTTGGGCCCTAAGAAGAAGAATGAATATAAACAGAAACTTGATATTATAAAGCAAGCTCTAGACGCTGATGAAGACACTGTCCGCGGCGGAACTCCTCGTCTGGCTTCCCCTCATTTACAACGAGTGGAAGAAGTCGAAGAAAATGATGTAGAGATGGCTGATGATGTCAGCACACCTGTACCAGCTCCTGAAATTAGTGGTTTTACCGCCGTTAATCGTACTTGATACTTTAATATTTCTGTGGCTTATTAACACTTTAGAGAGCATACGTGTTTCGCAACATTATACAATTGTGAGCTCCAGCTGTGCTTATTCCTCTCTTGGGTAGCTCTTTTAGCGCAGCTTTGCAATGAACCGTTGTAGGTTACGATAAATGATATGTAGTGGCCCCTGCCATACAATCTATATTTCGTCGAGGATTTTGATTACCCCTGATAACTACTCATGGCTATAAGATATTTCAGTATGTGGCGGGAGTTCTTGGCTGGTTTAAAATTTCACTCTCATCAGGTAGCGGGTTTATGACAATGCAATTATTAGGATTTACACAGAAACTATCACGTAACTACTTTAGGCATCACCAAGCTTCCACGCATTAGTTGTATCCTTTTGGATCTTTTCAAGAAAACGAACCAGTTAGTTCAATTTAAGCCAATATTCTGAAAAGGCAATATTTATGTCGATATAGGCAAGATGCAAGTTGGCAAACATCAGACAAAAAAGGTGCCCAGGTACCCTACCGTCTCTCTGCTTTAAACCTTACGACACTGCAAAGCTGTACAAACGTTGAGAGATGGTCATGGCTTGCCATGCGTTATGGCTTTTGAACAATTTTGACCATAAAGATAAAACTGGGCGGGAAATACAGGCAGGGATCTTTGTAATTACAAAAGGTAGCTTCTGGAAATAAATTCTACGTATATCAGACAAACGCATAACGAAGTTGGATTTGAATTTGAAATCTTTTACCTGACAGGAAGAACCTAATATCTATTTAGACGTGACACGGTTAGATTGGCTCTGAAAGCTCATTGCTACCTACATGACCGGCAGTGGAGCCAGAAGCGACAAAAAAAATGAATGAAAAAAAATGAACAGTATATGTCTGAGTTACGGTGCCCTGCGCCGCATCCCTATCTTCCACATCCATCTCCTCTCGGGTCAGAAACAGTCTCAGCGTGGTCACCCCCCACCCTGTTCATTCTTCGGCAGACTGTAACAACTACTTTTAGTTAAGAATTGAATGAACTTCTGCCATCCCCTCTCCCCTATCATTTCCCTAGCCCCACGTGGGGCCATTTTCTCATAGATTCTCCAACGTAGCAAAGCAGGTCGGCAATCTGAAAAATGCCAGGGCCTTTTCTCTCGGCCGCAAACGCATTTCAGATCTTCATATTCGGGGTTGAAACGTCAATGGTAGTCGGCGTAGTCCCCGTGGCCTGTTCTTGCCGCAATAAGACGATAGTACTCCCATCTTGGTAAAGCTAGTTCCGGTTGTCTTTTGCAACGCATGAATAGGTCCAGATCTTTGTATTGTTTCGGTCGATACTTCTGCCACCACTCTTCCACGAGCTCTTGACTGCGCTGTTTAACCAACCTCCCTAATGCCGCAAAGGTTAGATCTTGATCTTCTCCACTGGGCGCAGCTGAGGTTAGTGACCGGTTATTGGGAGCTCCCAAGGCTGATTTGGCCAGCTTATCGGCCTCTTCATTGCCTTGAATCCCCACATGCCCGGGTATCCAGCGTATTTCCACACACTTATTGTGTCTCAACAATGAAAACTTGTCCACCACTGACTGCGAGGAGTTAGATCCTCCTCTTTCGAGCGCCTGAGTGGCCGCTTGATTGTACAGAAGAATGCAGATCAGTAAGTTTTTTCCTACCTCTATTGCAGCCTTCAAGGCTTTCACGGCACCTACAACTTCTGCGTCGAATACCTCTGCTCCGAGAAGTGGATCGGAGCCACTTGCAACTAGCTTGCCTCCTTGGTATACTACATACCCCCAGGCTGATTTTCCGGGACCCGATGATGATCTATCAGAGAAAGCGAAGACTGTGTTAGCTGGAAGGGAAGCTAACCACCGCTATATGCTTCCAGACCTAGCTTTATTTTCTCGACTACATGAAATCGATACTGGGGTGCCACGTAGGAAGTATAGCTTTCCAGGGCCTTCGGCTGTCGGAACTCGATGCACACTCATTTGTAGGCGTGTCATGTACCGTTCTGGTTGTCTGAACAGGCGATTTCTTTGTCTCGATCTAAGACCTAAGCGTCTTATTGTCTCTTTCGGATCCTCAGCCGCCCGAATGGCTAGAGGGTGCCAGGCATCCGTTCTTCGCATACGAGCTGCAGACCGCAGCATCTTTTGCTGAAGAATTATCGATGCCAGGGGTATTCCCGCTTCACGATGAGGAGCGCCATTGGGAGTGGTACGCCACGCTGGGAGTGCTACTCTAATAGCTTTCATTATCATTTTTCCCAGTAGAAATATATGCCAGCCTACTCCAGTGCTGACTTCTTTATCTCGCAGTGTGGTTATTCGAGTGAGACCAGGCCGCCACGCTTCTGCCCCGAATAGAGCTGTGCTCAGAATGCATGCATGTACTGCACGAATCAGAAGTCCGGGTGCTGCACCGCATTGAACTCCGTTTATATGTCGTAGGAAATGGACTATATGATTAGCTTTTCCAGTCCATTCCTGTACATGTTGCTTGGAGTTTAGCTGGGTATCAAGCCAGACTCCTAGCCACCGGATATGAGGTGACGGTTCGATCCGGCGATCTTTCACGAAGATGGAAAGATCAGCCGCGTTGATTTTCTTTCTAGGCCCTCCTTCGGTCACTAGAAGTTCTGACTTTGCTGGGTCAAAATCGATCCTGTGTTCTCTTGCAAGAAGGATAAGGCTGTCGAGGCCGTCTTGAGCTGCGGAGATAGCAACCGCTGCGGTGTTTCCAATTCTGACAATAGCTACATCGTCAGCATAACTAAACCTGCTCGTTAGACCATGATCCTCAAAAAGCACAGCGATGTAGAGCATGAAAATAAGTGGCGATAGTGGCGAGCCCTGAGGTACTCCACATTCCAGTATCTTCTCTTCTGTGATTCCACCGCGGTATTTGACCTGAACCTTTCGTTGGTAAAGAAATGTCTGAATAAACCGGCACAGGGATCGTGGCCAGCCTTGTTCTCGAAGGCGTTTGAGCAGTCGGTTGTGAAGGACTGCATCAAATGCACCTTGAATGTCGAGTGTGACCACAGCCGCACACTAGCCACTCCTCATGGCCGCCTCAGCATCATGGATTACACAGGATGCAAGGTCGGCTGCAGATCGTCCCAGTACGGAGCCGAATAGTTGTAGGTGAACAACTTGGTGATTTATCGCCAGCCATGCCATTCTCTTACCAACTAGACGCTCAAGTCCTTTGCCTAAACTCGACAACAGCGAGATTGGTCGCCAACCCTTGGCAGTTAACAGATTTCTACCCGGCTTTGGAAGAAGCACAACTTCTGCCACCCTGAAAGCCGTGGGAAAGTAGCCCATTTTTAGACAAGCCTGGTAAAGATCTTTGACGAGAGGTCCTAGATGGGTCCAACAGGCTTTCAGTAACTGTTCCGTTATCTTTTCGGCTCCCGGTGCCGTGTCGTTGACAGAGACAGTGGCGCTTGTCACTTCGTCCAGTGATAATTCCGTATCCCATGGAATACGCTCCTCTTGTCCATTCTCCCAGATAGAGATATCGTTCTCGCCGCTAAACCTAGCCAAGAGGATGTCTCGTAGCGCACTAGCTCGCTCTCGCGGGTCAGATAGCCACCAGTTTTCGTCAATCTGCAGGGGAGGGGGCTCGGCGGCTGGTCGAGGCTTAGCCCATCTCATGAGCTTGAATACCTGTGCGTCAGTAGTCACTGCCTCTACTTGCCTCTTCCAGTACTCTCGCTTGGCTTTTCGTACCACGGCTTTAAAGCTGTTGCGGACCTCTTTCGCGAGGTCAGGGTTGTCTCCCGCTGCCTTGTACTCTTGCCACTCTGTGCAACATTCATCGGTCCACCATGGCCCAGTTCTTCCGCTTTCGATGGCTGGGACTTTCCCTGCAATCTTGAGCGCATCTCCAAGTGCTTGTAGGATATCATTCGTGAAGTTTTCGATGTTGAAGACACTATCGAGATGGCCAGATTTGGTCCATTGGCTAACGCATCAGCTAAATTCCTTCAAGTTGGCGTCGCTGACACGAATGTTCTTTACAATTCCAGAGAGATCTGACACTGCTGGGTTAAGCACGGTACCTTCGATGGTCGAGTGATCTGAGGTACAGTGGAAGCGGTTGGACACTGATGCTATAGCGGCCGTGCTGCTCCACGTTAGATCTAGGACGTTCCTATCCCTGTGCGTTGGCTCTCCAACGATGCTGACTAGGTCCAAGTCGTGGGCTGTTGCCCATTCCATAATCTGGTTACCATTGCCGTACTGATTTGTTGCTAGCGGTTGCCAATGCTGTGACACAGAATTGAAATCGCCTCCAACAACCACTAGACCTCTAATTTCACATCGGAGTAGGGGCTCCAAGGTTCCACTGGTGCCTGGGGCACGGTATACGTTGACAAAGGTTAGGCTACCCATCTTTACAAAACAGTAGTCAGATTTCGGGCCTGACAACGGTAGAAATGGTTGAGTCGTATGACTACCTTTGCGCGTGAAAGTAATCGCGCGAGGCCGGATGTCTGTTCCTCCGAATGGTATATGGCTATTGTAGTCAGGGTGACTTTTTGTTATAAAACCCCCCTCTTTCTTTCTTGTCCATGGTTCCTGTACCATGACTACATGTGCACCGGTATCCCATGCCTGCTGCAATGCTATATCCGTATTTTCCCCACCCCTTCCGACATTCACTTGGTGAAAGTGGACGGTGTTGTACTTGTCTTTTGGTGCTTTTGTTGAGGGGTTTCCTAACATTAACACGACATTGTTGAGTCCTGGGCAATGACGGTTTCAACCGCCTTACCCTTCCTTTCAGAGTACGCTAGAGCAGCATGATAATCACGATGTCCGCGTTCTCTGATGATGTGAAGTTCTACCGGGGTGCGGGGCAGAATTATCCCGTTTTGTCGTCTTGGCCGGGCCATACAGCTGCCCTCATTTGAGTGGTGAGGTCCCGCGCAATTAGAGGACTTTGACACCTTTGCCTGGCACTCTGATGTCTCATGGGTTCCCCCACATCTCCCACATCG